ATTGGTCAGGCGTTATCAAAACAGTAATGACGTCGCCGACCACCCACGTTCTGGGCGTCCCCGACGTAACGACGCCAAGACAGGACATATGGATTCTGGTGACTCATCTCAGACACATGTTCCAGACGGCAGAGACTACGTCCCAGACCATTCCCCAGGCCTTCTATGCTCATTTGGTAGCCTCCATACGTCGTCGATGCACTGCTGAGCTTCACACACATGGTGGTCATACCCGTTATTGACTTTGTGACTGCCTCGTGTGACCCCCTACTCGATTTTGAACGATTTACGGATATTGTTCATGTTCTTTTGACATTTTGTTGTGGTCCGATACTTCAGCTTATAAAGTGTCATTTCGTCTTTTCTGTGTTGTATTCCAATTCTGAAGGAATTTTCTGTGTGCACAGTTTCTTTACGTGGCTAGTATAATATCAAAAGTATATTCAAAGTCACAATTGAACTCTCCACGCTGGTAATTAGCAGGGACCTTGTTTATAAACACTGGCGCTCTGCCGTGAGTCCTCGCTTGGCATGTGTGATTGTCCCGGAGTCGTTGGACCGAAGTAAATGTTCTCAAAGAATTGTCGGGAAACTGTTGTATATTCGAGTCGCCATTTCAAAGCTGAAATCTTGCTGTAACACAAACACTGCTCGATCGCGACTCTTGGGACCGACAAAGTCAGATATGTAAGTTTCTATATCACACAACACATAAACACACTTCTACATCTATCAGATTCCAAGTTAAAACATTGACACCCAACACAACCTAATGGCACACTCACGTACCTGGTCTATCAGATGAAAACATTGACACCCAACACAACCTAATGGCACACTCACGTACCTGGTACCAGGCCTACCCCAACAGGGTTTGGGTGAGGGACAGTCAGGCCCTAACCCTAACCAGACCTACCCCAATAGGGTTTGGGTGAGGGACAGTCAGGCCCTAACCCTAACCAGACCTACCCCAATAGGGTTTGGGTGAGGGACAGTTTGGCCCTAACCCTAACCAGACCTACCCCAATAGGGTTTGGGTGAGGGACAGTTTGGCCCTAACCCTAACCAGACCTACCCCAATAGGGTTTGGGTGAGGGACAGTTTGGCCCTAACCCTAACCAGACCTACCCCAATAGGGTTTGAGAGACAGACAGGCATTTTATTCAGTAACTGGCCTCCGTCCCAAAATACAATCATGATAATATGTAATACATCAGCGCAGTTTACAGCATTTGTAGTTTGTGTTTCTTGTTTACATCATATAGGAATGAACATACATGTTTAATCATATTCATATTTTCACTCTGTAGAATAGACATAAAATTTATAATTTGGGGGAAGCTACTTAAATATTTCTAAATATATTTATTCCTGATACTACAATATGCCTCACACATAAAATACATGCCATTCATCTTCAATTAATAAAATACCATTAGATTTACAGCATAGACAGTACCTTTCATTATAGTTAATATCAGAATATCTGCCCGTGTTCACGGCTAGTATAGGGTTTGGGTGAGGGACAGTTAGCTACCACAATAGATTTACAGCATAGACAGTACCTTTCATTATAGTTAATATCAGAATATCTGCCCGTGTTCACGGCTAGTATAGGGTTTGGGTGAGGGACAGTTAGTTACCACAATAGATTTACAGCATAGAGAGTACCTTTCATTATAGTTAATATCAGAATATCTGCCCGTGTCCACGGCTAGTATAGGGTTTGGGTGAGGGACAGTTAGCTACCACAATAGATTTACAGCATAGACAGTACCTTTCCTTATAGTTAATATCAGAATATCTGCCCGTGTTCACGGCTAGTATAGGGTTTGGGTGAGGGACAGTAAGTTACCACAATAGATTTACAGCATAGACAGTACCTTTCATTATAGTTAATATCAGAATATCTGCCCGTGTCCACGGCTAGTATAGGGTTTGGGTGAGGGACAGTTTGTTACCACAATAGATTTACAGCATAGACAGTACCTTTCATTATAGTTAATATCAGAATATCTGCCCGTGTTCACGGTTAGTATAGGGTTTGGGTGAGGGACAGTTAGTTACCACAATCGATTTACAGCATAGACAGTATCTTTCATTATAGTTAATATCAGAATATCTGCCCGTGTTCACGGCTAGTATAGGGTTTGGGTGAGGGACAGTTAGTTACCACAATAGATTTAGAGCATAGACAGTATCTTTCATTATAGTTAATATCAGAATATCTGCCCGTGTCCACGGCTAGTATAGGGTTTGGGTGAGGGACAGTTAGTTACCACAATAGATTTACAGCATAGACAGTACCTTTCATTATAGTTAATATCAGAATATCTGCCCGTGTCCACGGCTAGTATAGGGTTTGGGTGAGGGACAGTTAGTTACCACAATAGATTTACAGCATAGACAGTACCTTTCATTATAGTTAATATCAGAATATCTGCCCGTGTCCACGGCTAGTATAGGGGTTTGGGTGAGGGACAGTTAGTTACCACAATAGATTTACAGCATAGACAGTACCTTTCATTATAGTTAATATCAGAATATCTGCCCGTGTCCACGGCTAGTATAGGGTTTGGGTGAGGGACAGTTAGTTACCACAATAGATTTACAGCATAGACAGTACCTTTCATTATAGTTAATATCAGAATATCTGCCCGTGTCCACGGCTAGTATAGGGTTTGGGTGAGGGACAGTTAGTTACCACAATAGATTTACAGCATAGACAGTACCTTTCATTATAGTTAATATCAGAATATCTGCCCGTGTCCACGGCTAGTATAGGGTTTGGGTGAGGGACTGTTAGTTACCACAATAGATTTACAGCATAGACAGTACCTTTCATTATAGTTAATATCAGAATATCTGCCCGTGTCCACGGCTAGTATAGGGTTTGGGTGAGGGACAGTTAGTTACCACAATAGATTTACAGCATAGACAGTACCTTTCATTATAGTTAATATCAGAATATCTGCCCGTGTCCACGGCTAGTATAGGGGTTTGGGTGAGGGACAGTTAGTTACCACAATAGATTTACAGCATAGACAGTACCTTTCATTATAGTTAATATCAGAATATCTGCCCGTGTCCACGGCTAGTATAGGGTTTGGGTGAGGGACAGTTAGTTACCACAATAGATTTACAGCATAGACAGTACCTTTCATTATAGTTAATATCAGAATATCTGCCCGTGTCCACGGCTAGTATAGGGTTTGGGTGAGGGACAGTTAGTTACCACAATAGATTTACAGCATAGACAGTACCTTTCATTATAGTTAATATCAGAATATCTGCCCGTGTCCACGGCTAGTATAGGGTTTGGGTGAGGGACAGTTAGTTACCACAATAGATTTACAGCATAGACAGTACCTTTCATTATAGTTAATATCAGAATATCTGCCCGTGTCCACGGCTAGTATAGGGTTTGGGTGAGGGACAGTTAGTTACCACAATAGATTTACAGCATAGACAGTACCTTTCATTATAGTTAATATCAGAATATCTGCCCGTGTCCACAGCTAGTATAGGGTTTGGGTGAGGACAGTTAGTTACCACAATAGATTTACAGCATAGACAGTACCTTTCATTATAGTTAATATCAGAATATCTGCCCGTGTTCACGGCTAGTATAGGGTTTGGGTGAGGGACAGTTAGTTACCACAATAGATTTACAGCATAGACAGTACCTTTCATTATAGTTAATATCAGAATATCTGCCCGTGTTCACGGCTAGTATAGGGTTTGGGTGAGGACAGTTAGTTACCACAATAGATTTACAGCATAGACAGTACCTTTCATTATAGTTAATATCAGAATATCTGCCCGTGTCCACGGCTAGTATAGGGAGTTTGGGTGAGGACAGTTAGTTACCACAATAGATTTACAGCATAGACAGTACCTTTCATTATAGTTAATATCAGAATATCTGCCCGTGTCCACGGCTAGTATAGGGGTTTGGGTGAGGACAGTTAGTTACCACAATAGATTTACAGCATAGACAGTACCTTTCATTATAGTTAATATCAGAATATCTGCCCGTGTCCACGGCTAGTATAGGGTTTGGGTGAGGGACAGTTAGTTACCACAATAGATTTACAGCATAGACAGTACCTTTCATTATAGTTAATATCAGAATATCTGCCCTTGTCCACGGCTAGTATAGGGTTTGGGTGAGGGACAGTTAGTTACCACAATAGATTTACAGCATAGACAGTACCTTTCATTATAGTTAATATCAGAATATCTGCCCGTGTCCACGGCTAGTATAGGGTTTGGGTGAGGGACTGTTAGTTACCACAATAGATTTACAGCATAGACAGTACCTTTCATTATAGTTAATATCAGAATATCTGCCCGTGTCCACGGCTAGTATAGGGTTTGGGTGAGGGACTGTTAGTTACCACAATAGATTTACAGCATAGACAGTACTTTTCATTATAGTTAATATCAGACTATCTGCCCGTGTTCACGGCTAGTATAGGGTTTGGTTGAGGGACAGTTAGTTACCACAATAGCGACGGCCTCACAAACACAGGACAGACAAAAAGAGGACGGTGAGAAAGCTTGAGTCAGTTCGTCCATTCTTTTACGGCAGCTGTCGGTTCATCCATGTGGAGACAAAATCTCAACAATAAGTAACACAGATCGAGTAAAACCGTGAAAACAAATAATACTGGCTCGAGATATTCCCCAATACGGTTTGTCAGTTGCAGTCGTAAGCGAACATCTTTAATCGTTTCCTCCGTCGAGAATAGAAGCAGCTTCTTCACACCTTCTCAAAGGTTAATTGTGTGGTCAAATATGCTTAAGCAAGCTGTCCGCGTTGAGGATCAAACTTGATAACCTTTGGGAAACTGAGCATATCTGTAATTATTTGCATGACTCACGTTGACATGGCTCGACCAGACCCTGGGTAAATGGGTGAAGCTCAACCCAAATCCGGTGTATTCGTGATCTCTATGTTCAGGATTATATTCCGCGTGGTATGTTTATGATGTGGATTATATTCTGTGTAGTATGTCTGTAGACGATGTAAGGTCGTCTGTAGAGGATGTACGGTTGTCAGTAGAGGATGTACGGTTGTCTGTAGACGATGTAAGGTCGTCTGTAGAGGATGTAACGTTTTTTGTACAGGATGTACAGTCGTTCGTTGAGGATGTACGGTGATCTGTAGAGGATGTACGGTGATCAGTAGAGGATGTAAGGTTGTCTGTAGAGGATGTAAGGTTGTCTGTTAAGGGTGTAAGGTTGTCTGTTGAGGATGTAATGTCGTCTGCAGAGGATGTACGGTTGTCAGTAGAGGATGTACGGTTGTCTGTAGGGGATGTAAGGTTGTCTGTTAAGGGTGTAAGGTTGTCTGTTGAGGATGTAATGTCGTCTGCAGAGGATGTACGGTTGTCAGTAGAGGATGTAAGGTTGTCTGTAGAGGATGTAAGGTTGTCTGTAGAGGATGTAAGGTTGTCAGTAGAGGATGTAAGGTTGTCTGTTGAGGGTGTAAGGTTGTCTGTTGAGGATGTAAGGTTGTCTGTAGAGGATGTAAGGTCGTCTGTAGAGGATGTAAGGTCGTCTGTTGAGGATGTAAGGTTGTCTGTAGAGGATGTAAGGTTGTCTGTTGAGGATGTAAGGTTGTCAGTAGAGGATGTAAGGTTGTCTGTTGAGGGTGTAAGGTCGTCTGTTGAGGATGTAAGGTTGTCAGTAGAGGATGTAAGGTTGTCTGTTGAGGGTGTAAGGTCGTCTGTAGAGGGTGTAAGGTTGTCTGTTGAGGATGTAAGGTTGTCTGTGGAGGGTGTAAGGTTGTCTGTTGAGGATGTAAGGTCGTCTGTTGAGGATGTAAGGTTGTCTGTTGAGGGTGTAAGGTCGTCTGTAGAGGATGTAAGGTTGTCAGTAGAGGATGTAAGGTTGTCAGTAGAGGATGTAAGGTTGTCTGTAGAGGATGTAAGGTCGTCTGTTGAGGGTGTAAGGTTGTCTGTTGAGGGTGTAAGGTTGTCAGTAGAGGATGTAAGGTTGTCTGTAGAGGATGTAAGGTCGTCTGTTGAGGATGTAAGGTTGTCTGTGGAGGGTGTAAGGTTGTCTGTAGAGGATGTAAGGTCGTCTGTAGAGGATGTAAGGTTGTCTGTTGAGGATGTAAGGTTGTCTGTAGAGGATGTAAGGTTGTCTGTAGAGGATGTAAGATCGTCTGTTGAGGGTGTAAGGTTGTCTGTAGAGGGTGTAAGGTTGTCTGTTGAGGGTGTAAGGTCGTCTGTAGAGGATGTAAGGTTGTCTGTTGAGGGTGTAAGGTTGTCTGTTGAGGGTGTAAGGTTGTCTGTTGAGGGTGTAAGGTTGTCTGTGGAGGGTGTAAGGTTGTCTGTAGAGGATGTAAGGTTGTCTGTAGAGGATGTAAGGTTGTCTGTTGAGGGTGTAAGGTTGTCTGTTGAGGGTGTAAGGTCGTCTGTTGAGGGTGTAAGGTCGTCTGTTGAGGATGTAAGGTCGTCTGTTGAGGGTGTAAGGTCGTCTGTTGAGGATGTAAGGTTGTCTGTAGAGGATGTAAGGTTGTCAGTAGAGGATGTAAGGTTGTCTGTAGAGGATGTAAGGTCGTCTGTTGAGGATGTAAGGTTGTCTGTGGAGGGTGTAAGGTTGTCTGTAGAGGATGTAAGGTCGTCTGTAGAGGATGTAAGGTTGTCTGTTGAGGATGTAAGGTTGTCTGTAGAGGATGTAAGGTTGTCTGTAGAGGATGTAAGGTCGTCTGTTGAGGGTGTAAGGTTGTCTGTAGAGGGTGTAAGGTTGTCTGTTGAGGGTGTAAGGTCGTCTGTAGAGGATGTAAGGTTGTCTGTTGAGGGTGTAAGGTTGTCTGTTGAGGGTGTAAGGTTGTCTGTTGAGGGTGTAAGGTTGTCTGTGGAGGGTGTAAGGTTGTCTGTAGAGGATGTAAGGTTGTCTGTAGAGGATGTAAGGTTGTCTGTTGAGGGTGTAAGGTTGTCTGTTGAGGGTGTAAGGTCGTCTGTTGAGGGTGTAAGGTCGTCTGTTGAGGATGTAAGGTCGTCTGTTGAGGGTGTAAGGTCGTCTGTTGAGGATGTAAGGTTGTCTGTAGAGGGTGTAAGGTTGTCTGTAAGGTTGAGGATGTAAGGTTGTCTGTTGAGGATGTAAGGTTGTCTGTTGAGGGTGGAAGGTCGTCTGTAGAGGATGTAAGGTCGTCTGTTGAGGGTGTAAGGTTGTCTGTGGAGGGTGTAAGGTTGTCTGTTGAGGATGTAAGGTTGTCTGTAGAGGATGTACGGTCGTCTATTGAGGATGTAATGTCGTCTGTAGAGGATATAAGGTCGTCTGTTGAGGATGACCAACCATTTATTGAGGGGCCACTGTTCATCTAGAGTGGGTTCCATACGTTCTCTCGTAGTGGCCTAACACAGATGTGGATCTCGCGGACTATATCTATAGGCTAGTCGCTTACCCTTGCTGACTAAATCTATAACCTAACCTAACCTAACCTAACCTAACTTAAACTAACCTAACATAACATAACCTAACCCTCTCCCTGGCTGAGTAAGTCTACACCCTAATCTTAACCATAACCCTAACCCTAACCCTGACTAAATCTATACATATTGTAGAATGATTATATATGTACATCCTGTCCCACGCACTGATCTGTAAACCGGTATTCACGCTGAAGCTCACTTTTATGGCTGTCGACTCACGCTACAAATATCCATATTCATGCAAAATACAAATGGCCGTGCAACAATTCACATACGTTTTGATATCTAACCAACGCGGTAAATGTCATGATTCATTCAATGATACAGAAATGTCTACACAATCCCACTTGGTCTTTGGGCATATGATGATTCAGGGTCTGGGAGCATGTTAACCTACATGCGTCAAACACAATATAATTCAAACATTTCTTACACAAATCTCCCCATGTATATATATTATGATACTGTTAACGATCTTGTTGCGTCACAGGTAGTCGTAAGCACCTCGCTAGCATGTGTATTACATGGAGCTATAGTGGGTCTCATCGTTAGATGTGTATTACATGGAGCTATAGTTGGTCTATTCGTTACATGTGTATTACATGGAGCTATAGTGGGTCTCCTCGTTACATGTGTATTACATGGATCTTTAGTGGGTCTCCTCGTTAGATGTGTATTACATGGAGCTATAGTGGGTCTCCTCGTTACATGTGTATTACATGGAGCTATAGTGGGTCTCCTCGTTCCATGTGTATTACATGGAGCTATAGTGGGTCTCCTCGTTACATGTGTATTACATGCAGCTATAGTGGGTCTCATCGTTACATGTGTATTACATGGAGCTATAGTGGGTCTCCTCGTTACATGTGTATTACATGGAGCTATAGTGGGTCTCATCGTTACATGTGTATTACATGCAGCTATAGTGGGTCTCATCGTTACATGTGTATTACATGGAGCTATAGTGGGTCTCCTCGTTCCATGTGTATTACATGGAGCTATAGTGGGTCTCCTCGTTACATGTGTATTACATGGAGCTATAGTGGGTCTCATCGTTACATGTGTATTACATGCAGCTATAGTGGGTCTCCTCGTTACATGTGTATTACATGGAACTATAGTGGGTCTATTCGTTACATGTGTATTACATGGAGCTATAGTGGGTCTATTCGTTACATGTGTATTACATGGAGCTATAGTGGGTCTCCTCGTTTCATGTGTATTACATGGAGCTATAGTGGGTCTCCTCGTTATATGTGTATTACATGGAGCTATAGTGGGTCTCCTCGTTACATGTGTATTACATGGAGCTATAGTGGGTCTCCTCGTTACATGTGTATTACATGGAGCTATAGTGGGTCTCCTCGTTACATGTGTATTACATGGAACTATAGTGGGTCTCATCGTTACATGTGTATTACATGGAGCTATAGTGGGTCTAGTCGTTACATGTGTATTACATGGAGCTATAGTGGGTCTCCTCGTTACATGTGTATTACATGGAACTATAGTGGGTCTCATCGTTTCATGTGTATTACATGGAGCTATAGTGGGTCTCCTCGTTACATGTGTATTACATGGAGCTATAGTGGGTCTCATCGTTTCATGTGTATTACATGGAGCTATAGTGGGTCTCCTCGTTACATGTGTATTACATGGAGCTATAGTGGGTCTAGTCGTTACATGTTTATTACATGGAGCTATAGTGGGTCTCCTCGTTACATGTGTATTACATGGAGCTATAGTGGGTCTCCTCGTTACATGTGTATTACATGGAGCTATAGTGGGTCTCATCGTTACATGTGTATTACATGGAGCTATAGTGGGTCTCCTCGTTACATGTGTATTACATGCAGCTATAGTGGGTCTCCTCGTTAGATGTGTATTACATGGAGCTATAGTGGGTCTCCTCGTTACATGTGTATTACATGGAACTATAGTGGGTTTCATCGTTACATGTGTATTACATGCAGCTATAGTGGGTCTCCTCGTTACATGTGTTTTACATGGAGCTGTAGTGAGTTTAGTCTTTACATGTCTTTATATGTGTCTAACAACAGGGTTTACACACTAGATAATGTGTGAATTACATGAGCAAACGGGTGAGTTGACCTCCAGAGAGGTATCAGTAGATGCGGGATCTCATAGTTCAGCGTTGGGTGACTGGTGCCTTAACCGGGTCTGCCATAACGCTTGAGCCTGCTATATTGTAATCTTAATCACTAACCGGGTCTGCCATAACGCTTGAGCCTGCTGTATTGTAATCTTACTCACTAACCGGGTCTGCCATAACGCTTGAGCCTGCTGTATTGTAATCTTACTCACTAACCCCACCGCTTAAAGGATTTGCTTAACACGATTAAACTGATGAAGGAAGCCATCGGTATAATAAAATGAAAGGATTTCAGTGGGACGTGAGACGTCTGTCATGCTGACTTACAACGTATCATTATCCGTTCTAATGCCATTGATTTAAAGTTGTGTATTCCCTCATCTTTCTCAGCAGTTAATAGAAATATCTTGATTTGTAACAGGATATATAGTTGATGAATCACACTGCGGAATTGATTTCTCCGATTTACAATAAATCACAAGCTATTATGAAAATAGTTCTGCAGATTTCCACTTAGGATATGAATGAGTGCTTCTTGTGATCGCCACCGTTTGTCACCTTGACGACATGAAGGTGTATCGTTGCTACTATTTTGTTGAATTTTGAAGACAAAATAGAATCATTAAACGGCCATTGAAATATTCTAAGCTGGAGGTTTTGTTAGAGGCGGAGTATATGCTTTGACCTCTGTGAGACGGGGAGTATAGGTTGTCTGACTAACCTGGCAGCTGTAAACATCTACTCACTCGGACTAAACCGTGACAAACTGGGCTCCACCATATAGTGTATGAAGGCCAAACAACCCCAGAGTCTGCAACTACAACGTCAACAAGAAACACGGACGTACCTGTCGTCGCAGTGGCAGTGGCTGAGTGTGTGGAACTTGTAGTTGAAGTAGCTGTACTTGTAAGAGAAGCGCTCGATAATGTGGGGACAGCTGTCGTGTTTTCGACAACAGGCGTCGGTTTTACGGTCGTAGCCGAGGTCGTCGTAGGAATCTGCAATATCGCCGTCGCCGCACCACTTCGTCCCCGGGAATATCAACCACCCGGAAAACAGATCACGCTTAGTACGCACGTGCAGGCGGGATGTCACATCTGTGTTTGGGACCAGTTTGGACAATTTAGCACCTCCGTCCTTCCTTCTGTGATAGCCTGTGTCAGTCCTCGCATGTTGTTTCATAATGGAGAAAAGTCGTTGACAGGCTTTAGCCTGATTGTGTAAGTCTGTGTACGAAATAAACGGTCCCAGTTGTCCCAGGGTGTGAACAGGCTGAACCGCACTTCCAGATTGTAGTGCACTCATGTTTCCATACACGTCCATCACATTACCCAAACTGCCTCGGAAAAAGATGTTCTTGGCTTGGGTAAAATCGCTTAGCAGACGTAAAACCATTTTCCTATTTTGTGTATATTGACAATCCCGTAAGCCCGCATGTTGAAACACCAGCTGCACTAGTCGACGGCCGTCGGTAATGCGACGCACTATTAAGGTATCCGGAGTGTCCATGAATGCAGTTGTTTCCAAAACCAGAATCCGCTTGTAAGATACCCGCAATTCCCTATATTGATTTTCATTTAAATTTACACTTACAAAATTCCTGGAGAATAAGGAGTAATCCCGTTTCCACCCTGATAAACGTCCAAGAAGAATCAGGAACAAAGCCAACCGTAATCCACCCGGCTCCATCTTGGAAATCTTTAAATCTTGTCTTCACGTCGGCTACCCCTCGTGCAAAATGTCGTCTGCTCGTCGGAGGTGGTGACGTCATGTAGGTTCCCGCAGGTAGTCGGATCTGACAATGGAGTCACGACAACAAATCCTATAGTGAACCACAAAGATAACAATAATATTCATTCACTGAGCGCACTTTGATGTGGGCCTTGTCCTTAGGAACCTCTTAATGTTAGAAGAAGACGCATTGCGTCAAATTTATGTCGATGGGGTAAACTTTTTGCTCTTTGTATCAAACAGTGTCATTTGATAGGTGTAATGTGTCCATAATAAGCGAACCCAGTCCGTTTCAGTTTGTCCACATCGACTACTGGTTCACGGGTTATTACCACGTTTCGCACCCCTGCCTTTTTCCCTCAGTGTTCAGTTTAACAAGTTACCCGGTGCAGGACCAGTGAGCTGAAGCAGGCGGTCTGCCTCGCTCATTTACCCCTGTGAAAGGGCCTACCCCTCGCGCTGCTATTGTTCAGGTACTGGTGCGTCCGTTCACTTTCTCCCCTTACAACCGACGGTTTCGTTTGAGGTTTTCCGGAACCACATTTGCGGGAAAACCTCGAGATGGAATTAATGAAACAGCAAGAGTCTGAGAAAATATTTTGTTAGTTCTGTAGCAAAATTAGACACAGTAGTCAGAGCCATTTATTTTACATTAACAGAAAACTATAACTATTTTACATGTAAATAGTAGTAGAGCTCTCCAAGTGCTGACATATGGTTCGAGTTTCCAGACCTCGCGAGACCTCTTCTGACCTCTTAGTCAAAGTTCTATCGCTTTCATCCTCCCGCAGTGTTCAGGGGAAAATATGCCTATATATTTTCTTATCCCTCGTAAATAGGAGACAGTACAATACGCCGCCGCGTTCCGTGAATGTTGTCTACACCTGTTAAACAGGTGAGCGTACGTTTATTGTTGTCAAATATTATCTTTTAATAAAGGTGACGGGGGACTGAATGCATATCATCAATAATATACGTTTATTGCGGGGCGCAGCATGTAGATTAGCATTGCCAGTGTAGTCTGGTGGAGGTGTTTAGATGGGCTTGAGTGACGCCACCACCCCGTCCTCCCCCTCCACATCAGATGCTACACTGGGTTCCACTCGGAAAACATGAACACTGACGTCCATCTTCACGAAGCAACATACTCACGATGATAACATGGACTTGAGGACAGCTCACGATGATACCCCTCGTGGACTTGAGGACAGCTCACGATGATACCCCTCGTGGACTGGAGGACAGCTCACGTGCTAAGTTCTATATTGGATTTAACGAGAGTGTATGTGAACCCGTGTGTATGACGTGTGTATACTGTATGTCTAATATGTGTGTGTATGATGTGTGTATGCTGTATGTCTGATATGTGTGTGTGTGCACGTGAACTAGTGTATGATGTGTACATAATATACGGCTGATATGAGTGTTTGTGTGATGTGTGTACTGTATGTCTGATATGAGTGTGTGTGTGATGTGTGTACTGTATGTCTGATATGAGTGTGTGCACGTAAACTATAGTACAGTCGGAAATAGAAAAAAAACTGTATTTTCTCATTTATCTCTACAATTTATGTAGTTGAAATGTGCAAGTGTGAAATATCTCTTAAACTAAGTTCATCCTAACTACAGTCTTAATGGTAGGGACACAAGGAACGTAGAAAAAGGACTTTACTGAGGAGAGATTAGTGCAAAAACGAATTATTTGGAACAGACCATGGCTGTATGCAAATTACTGTGCGACGAAATTGTATTATAAAGGACACTTTTTAAGTGACCAATTTGAAATTAGACATAGCTTCATTATAAACGATAGCTGGCGTAAAAAATTATAACTTTCATGCTGAAACTGTTAAGGATGTAGCTACCATGGAGTCTCGCTGTCACTATAAAGAGAAACAGATAGGAGGGGTCGTCTCAAAAGCAAAACCTGGACGGGTGTCGCAGACGATCGTTGGGGTCGGGCTTGGGGATAGAGATATCAGCTAATGTACGATAATCCTTTAGGGCAATTATACTGGGGAAGTACACGGCATGTCATAACAATTTACAAATAATATCCAGTCCTGTCGATCTTCGCGATCGGGTGGTCATGCCACCTATATATTTTGAGACATTTAAAACGATGCGTTTCTATGGTTATCAGGTATCAAACTCTTTTACATATCTCAACATACACTTTATGAAAGAAAGACACTTAAGCTGTTAATCAATGGATGAGGCATAGTCAACACACATGAAAAAGCACAAAATATCTTTGAGATGACCCCTTGGGCTCCTGTAGGCGGCACATGCATTTCATGACAGGTTAGTCGACGGTCCGTCGTCATACCTGGCTCAGTGACCTAATTGCCATCTATAGTCTGATCTATTGTTTTCAGCAGCTATTCGTATTTTTTCTAAGTTTTGCCCGATTTTACGAGTAAACATGCTTTTCTAGATATCCTATTACGCATCCCACTGAGTGCCAAGTTAGGCCGAAGTGGGTTATTTCGACATATGCTATTTGCAGTTGTGTCAATTTTAGGGATACAGAGTAAGAGCCTAAAAACAGTTTTTTTTCTATTTCCGACAGTACTTTTAGTGTGTATGATGTGTGTATAATGTATGTCTGATATGTGTGTGCACGTGAACTAGTATGTATGATGTGTGTACTGTATGTCTGATATCAGAAACCCATATAATACTTCAATAATAATAAATATATTATATGGTCTCTGCTGATATGAGTGTGTGCACGTGAACTAGTGTGTATGATGTGTGTATAATATATGTCTGATATGAGTGTGTGTTTGATGTGTGTATACTGTACATATAATATATGTCTGATATGACTGTGTGTATGATGTGTGTATACTGTACATATAATATATGTCTGATATGAGTGTGTGTATGATGTGTGTATATACTGTATGTATAATATATGTCTGATATGAGTGTGTGTATGATGTGTGTATACTGTACGTATAATATATGTCTGATATGAGTGTGTGTATGATGTGTGTATACTGTACATATAATATATGTCTGATATGAGTGTGTGTATGATGTGTGTATACTGTACGTATAATATATGTCTGATATGAGTGTGTGCACGTGAACTAGTGTGTATACTGTACATATAATATATGGCTGATATGAGTGTGTGTATGATGTGTGTATACTGTATGTATAATATATGGCTGATATGAGTGTGTGTATGATGCGTTTATGATATGTGTGAATGCTGTATTGGTGAATATTCCTATGATACAATGACGGGGAGAGTGTTTGTTGTTATATATTTATGTTTCTCCTGACAAGCACTGGCGTAACCGGCGTCGACCTGCTATAGTTCAGTGTGAGATCTAACGAAATGGGGAATACTCGGAGATAACTTTCACAGTTTCACAGTCGTAAGATATGGTTGGCTCTGCTTATAAGGATTTAGAACGTACAACGTTAGTGAAGTATGTCAGTGTAGATGAACGCGTTAAATACAACCACGATTTGACCGTTCATTCATTCATTCGACGAGGCATACAGCCTACTGTAATTTCAATAAGTCTCTTCAGCTCCTCTTGAAGTGCCTGGCCAAGATCAGATATGGTCTTTGGTCTGTTCCGCTCCTCTTGTAGTGCGTGGCCAAGATCAGATATGGTCTTTGGTCTGTTCCGCTCCACTTGTAGTGTGTGGCCAAGATCAGATATGGTCTTTGGTCTGTTCCGCTCCTCTTGAAGTGCCTGGCCAAGATCAGATATGGTCTTTGGTCTGTTCCGCTCCTCTTGTAGTGCGTGGCCAAGATCAGATATGGTCTTTGGTCTGTTCCGCTCCTCTTGTAGTGCCTGGCCAAGATCAGATATGGTCTTTGGTCTGTTCCGCTCCTCTTGTAGTGCCTGGCCAAGATCAGATATGGTCTTTGGTCTGTTCCGCTCCTCAAGATCAGATATGGTCTTTGGTCTGTCGGCGCTCCTGCCTGGCCAAGATCAGATATGGTCTTTGGTCTGTTCCCACTTGTAGTGCGTGGCCAAGATCAGATATGGTCTTTGGTCTGTTCCGCTCCTCTTGTAGTGCCTGGCCAAGATCAGATATGGTCTTTGGTCTGTTCCGCTCCTCTTGTAGTGCGTGGCCAAGATCAGATATGGTCTTTGGTCTGTTCCGCTCCTCTTGTAGTGCCTGGCCAAGATCAGATATGGTCTTTGGTCTGTTCCGCTCCTCTTATAGTGCGTGGCCAAGATCAGATATGGTCTTTGGTCTGTTCCGCTCCTCTTGTAGTGCCTGGCCAAGATCAGATATGGTCTTTGGTCTGTTCCGCTCCTCTTGTAGTGCCTGGCCAAGATCAGATATGGTCTTTGGTCTCCTCTTGTAGTGCCTGGCCAAGATCAGATATGGTCTTTGGTCTGTTCCGCTCCTCTTGTAGTGCCTGGCCAAGATCAGATATGGTCTTTGGTCTGTTCCGCTCCTCTTGTAGTGCCTGGCCAAGTTCAGATATGGTCGTTGGCTCCTCTTGTAGTGTTCAAGAAAAATTGTGTTCGCTCCTCTTATAGTGACTGGCCAAGTTCAGATAAAGGTCGTTGGTCTGTTCTGAAGTATGGGGATTTCAGCGTTATTATTGTTTGGAAAAGGTTCAAGTATTAGCATGTGAAAGGTATACGTGTCTTGGATGTTCTCCACAGAATTGTATATTTTGAATGTCATAGATATGTTATTTCCCAGATTTGATGTTTAAAGTGCTGGTTCAATATTCTTCGTGGACAACGTCTCCCTAAGTTAGCTTAATGCATACTTTCACATGTAGAAACACGGGAAAGAATACATGTTCATCGTATATAAGAGGCATGTTATTTCCCCATATAAGAGGCATGTTATTTCCCCATAGTTTGGGGTTTATATGGTTACATCAGGCAGCTGAAACAGTAAACAGTTAAGTCAAAAGGCTATCTACTATCTACAGACATGTATAACCTGACTGCAATTATTTACGTGATGCTAGTTTCCTTTCTTAGTCTCCATCGACACTTCACTCTGAATGTGTGTGTGTGTGTGTGTGTGTGTGTGTGTGTGTGTGTGTGTGTGTTTATCTTACCTCACACATAAATGTCGCTTTCTGATTAACTGAGCGCTCTTCTATTATTTTCAATGTACCCCGCTTACAAGCGAGTAACATTTTCATGTACCCCGCTGTCAATGGCAACTCATTTGATACTTCGTGATAGTAATTCTATAGCTCGAATAACATTGAATCACGTATGATGTACGGAAATTACCGATGTTTTGCGAATGCAAATCGATGGAAGGGAGATAACTCTAAATCTGTTTT